TCCTGTCTATCAAATGTCCTGCGTATCAAATGTTGTGTCTCTAAAATGTTTTGTCTATCAAATGTCCTGCGTATAAAATGTCTAGTCATTAAAATGTCCTGTCTATCAAATGTCCTGCGTATCAAATGTCTAGTCATTAAAATGTCCTGTCTTATCAAATGTTCTGCGTATCAAATGAATAGTCATTACAATGTCCTGTCTATTAAATGTCCTGCGTATCAAATGTCCTGTCTTATCAAATGTCCTGTCTATCAAATGCCTAGTCATTACAATGTCCTGTCTTATCAAATGTCTCGTCTATCAAATGTCTCGTCTATCAAATGTCTTGTCTATTAAATGTCCTGCATATCAAATGTCCTGTCTTATCAAATGTCCTGTCTATCAAATGCCTAGTCATTACAATGTCCTGTCTTATCAAATGCCTCGTCTATCAAATGTCCTNTGTCTCATCTATGAAATAAATGTCTCATCTATGAAATAAATGTCTCATCTATGAAATAAATGTCTCATCTATGAAATAAATGTCTCATCTATGAAATAAATGTCTCATCTATGAAATAAATGTCTCATCTATGAAATAAATGTCTCATCTATGAAATAAATGTCTCATCTATGAAATAAATGTCTCATCTATGAAATAAATGTCTCATCTATGAAATAAATGTCAAATCTATTAAATGCTATATTAAATTATTTCCCTAAAGTTTGTTTTAAAAAGATAGACGGTGAAAAAGTATTTAACAAATAAACGTTTGCCTTATGACGTTTACTACTATAATACTTACTTTATTTAACAAATATATTATGGTCTAGACACGCAGTATCTAAATTCTAAAATAAAACTGGTATGCTATTGCTAGGTCACATTTAGATAGATAGATAGATAGACAGGTAGGATGATAGATAGATAAAAAGATGCTAAAAGAAAGCCCTCCTATCTTAACAACAAATACTGGATGTTAAAAACCAAAATATATTTAGAGGCGCAATTAACAGCTGGTATTATCCAGTGTATAGTGTGTATAGTGTATAGTATACACTATATACAGGCCAGATTCCGGTGAAATATTGACAAATTGTGTCCAAACATGAACCGCAGGGGTAACAGACAAACAGACAGACAAACAGACAGACAGACAAACAGACAGACAAACAGACAGACAAACAGACAGACAAACAGACAGACAAACAGACAAACAGACAGACCAAAAGACATACAAACAGATAGACAAACAGAAAAATAGACAAACTAGTAAATAGACAAATAGACAAATAGACAAAAAGACAAATAAACAAATAGATAAAGGACAGATAAAAATGTATAAAAATGTATACAAATAGACAAACTGCAAATTAGATGAACCGACAAATATACAAACTGACAAATTGACAAATATATAAATACTAAATAAATAAATTATAAATAGACAAATAGATAAATAGACAAATAATAAATAGACAAAAAGATAAATAGATAAATAATAAATAGACAAATACATAAATAGATAAATAATAAATAGACAAATAGATATAAAAGCCAATAGACAAATAGACAAAAATATATATATGAAATCCCCCCCCCCCAAAAAAAAAAAAGTTCTGACAAGAAAACGTAAAACTAAATATTCATTTTTGAAACTAATGATGCTCTACCTTAAAGTAATTTCCCACAGTTTTAAGCTAATGGTTTAACATGGGTATACATATTATATTTATTTCCCTGTCGACATAATAATAGGATGATAAACTAACTTTATTTACCCCGCTAGTGGTAAACAGAATGAACCAAATTAAAAATCAAAGACGACATTCTATCATAAAAAATTCTTTGCTCTGCATTGTTAAGTTTTCATATTTATAAATCAACTTTACATTTAATTCATTGGTAATTTCCTAGTATACGATTTTTGGACCCCCCTCCTATCAATTTCACTAAAAGATGAGAATTCAAAGACGACTTGTTTAAAAGATTCCTGCACTATTATTAAATCAGAAAACCACATTAACAACTTTCATTTTTATGAGTTTTCTGTCGTCATTACCAACTCAACCCTTGTTGTGAACCCTGTATCTAAATGAAACGGAAAATTGTAAAAACAAACTTATAATTTGTTAAATGAACGAAGCACCCCCTGGTGCGCCTTCACTTTGCAATAGTTCTGCACAATTTAAGGAATTTGTGAAATTTAGAAAAACAAAATACAAGCCTTTAATCTCAATTAAAATTCACTTTTAAATACAAAATGTTAATGTATCATTCTGAACTATTTCATCATGTTGAGAATTTTTTAAAAAAAAGGTTCTTGGTGGAAATAAAAGCCAAATATTTTTTATTGGAGCCAAAATGCGGGGCGTGGAGACAGAATGGCGGGAGGCTTGGTGACGTCACTGAGGCTGGGAGACCAGTTTTGCGGGGCCGGGAGGTAATTCTGCAAATCCTGAGGTTCGGAGATCATTTTTGCGGGGATCATGGCGCCTCTGCACCCCCTCCCTCGGAGGGGAGGTGTTCTGAATCTAAAATAAAGTTAGCTGACTTTTGTAGCTGCATAAAGGGACTATAAGCGTAATTTCAAGTGACCCTCCATGCACAGATGGCAGTGCCCTATTTGCAACGGTAGCCTGAAACCATCAACTGATATTAGTCTACAAAAAAACACGTTAAATAGCGCATCTCCCGTACTGAGGTCAAACTGTTTACCCCGCGTTTTACATTAATAAATTTGGTTTTCAAGATATTTAAACTTGATAAATAGTCAAAGGTTTAAGAGCACAGCTTCCCATGAGGGTCCCTTGAAATTACGCTTACAGTCTCTTTAATAATAATTACAATTGGTTATCTTCATATTCCTTTCTTGATCGAATTTAAAGGGTATAGAAGTGCAAACTTAATTTGTTATCTAATTACGATAAGCTGTAGTTTTTATATCTTTTAAAGAACTAAATGCTGTCAATTTTGGATATGATTAAAAACAAAATAAATTTGAAAAACCCTTGAATTAATAATTTTCTGGATATAAATATATATAGAGTGATACCAGAATTAGTAAAGTGTATTTATTTTGTTACAAAGAAATAGTTTTACCAATACTTTTTAAACACTAATTTATTAAAAATGGGCCTGTTTACACTGCACAATTGATGTGCTCATTTCTTCTAATCCTTAGCCTTCTCGTTCTCACTGTTCAGAAAATTATTTTGCAAAGATTTGCAAGAATATATTTGGCAGACTGTGTTTGCACAAATAAATTATTCCTAAATATTCAACTTTAGACTTGAGAGTTAGATCTTCAGTTTATTAGAAAAGTTTGAAAAGAGACAGGCCAGGTTAGAGTGGAAATTATTTCAAAGGGGAAAGTATATATTGTATTGAAATGTTAAATTTAATTTAATTAATCAGAGCTACTCTCTTAGGAACTATAGTTTGCCTGTAAGCTAAAATTTTACCCTAACTAAAAGTCAACCTACTCAGATTAGAAGTTTTAAACTAAGCTAGCAATTTCTCAAATCAGCCCAGGGGTTCCTGAGTTATGATAGGACATCCATCAAACAACCAAACATAGATTACTTACTGTATGTATGTGTTAGTTTTTTTCATTATAAAAAAAAGTTGAGTGGTTCTCCCGAGTCCCCCCCAAAAATTTTATTATCTGCATATCCAGGGCGGATATAGGGGGGTCGGCAGGAACGTCGCACCCCCCCCCCTGAGTTTTCAGAAAAGCTCCTCAATAGCACTTAAGGGAAAGAAAACAGCTAGTGCAAAACAGGAAAGTCAAAGCAAAATTTCATCTTCGGTGCGTCTTTTGGTTCCTAAATCTGGACTTTTAAGTTCAGAAATAAATCTAGCACCCCCCTCACTTAAATCCTGTATCCGCCCCTACGCATATCAGGCCCGTAGCCAGGGGGGGTGCAGGGGGATAGGTGCACCCCTCTTTCTTCTGAAAGGGGGGTGCAATGACGAATTTTCATATGTAGACACTGGAGAATAAGATACTAGAGACATATGTAGACACTGGAGAATTAGACACTAGAGATATATGTAGACACTCGGAGAATTAGATACTAGAGACATATGTAGACACTGGAGAATTAGACATTAGAGACATATGTAGACACCGGGAGAATTAGACACTAGAGACATATGTAGACACTGGAAGAGTTAGACACTAGAGACATATGTAGACACTGGGAGAATTAGACATTAGAGACATATGTAGACACTTGGAGAATTAGACACTAGAGACATATGTAGACACTGGGAGAATTAGACACTAGAGACACATTAGACAATAGAGAATTAGACAATAGAGATATATGTAGACAATGGGAGAATTAGACACTAGATACACATGTAGACACTGGAGAATTAGACAATAGATATACATGTAGACACTGGAGAATTAGACACTAGATACACATTAAACACTGTAGAATTAGACACTAGAGACATATGTAGACACTGGAGAATTAGACACTAGATATATATAAAGACACTTGAGAATTAGATATATGTAGACTTAATGTATACAGTGGTAGGCGATTATATCACTACAATGAAGACGATTTTTTTTATCTAAGTTTTGATTGTCAACAACCTTTTTCAGAATTACAAGTTTTCAAGTATTTACAGAGAAGCTTTTTAATCGATATCCTCTCTTTGTTTTCATGTTTATGTGTACCCACTATCCAATGCTGTTTAAAAGTTTGATATAAATCAAAATTGAAATAAAAAGTCATCATTGTTTTGGTCGACTGTAGATATCTATACTATAGGATATTTTATAATAATAATCTTATAATAAAAATTTTATTTTTCGTTGGATTTCCAAAATCCTTCAAAACTAAAAAATTGGAATTTAAAAAAAAATACATAGAATATAAATAATTTAGACCTAGGAGTAAGGACCAATGCTTACAACAGTGAAAGATTTCAATAGCCATTGCCAGTAGTTAACAACAAGTTTAAAAATTCGAATGAACAAATTTGAAATCTACATTTAAACTTGATTTTCAAAACATCTGAGTTTTTCATATATTTCTGGAACTTAAGATAAACATAAAGATTCAGTTCCAGAATGTCGTCTTCCATTTCCTCAATGTCGTCTTGGTGTTCTCTACCGAGCTCCGCAACGAACCCTGATAAGATCCAGGTACTGGGTTGGGGTAGCGGTCAGGAACAGACGGGAGGCCGGACCCAGGCAAGCTACACGTCGACCAGCTGCAGATATAATAGGTTTAAGGGCATATTTATGACATCATAATGAGGTCTGCAATGATTATATTTCGAGTTCATTGGACCTTGATACTTCTTTATTTCAACCCGATGCTACAGGTACGTAAATGAATAATTAAAGGGAATAAATCTTACCATTAGTTAAAAACTTATCTATTGTTTGTGCTTTAGGAACCACCAATAAACTGGTGTTGTAAGTGATCTACAGGATGTCTAAAAAACGGGAAATTAGGCCGGGTCAACAGACTTTTTTGTATTTTTTAAAATCTAAGTACAATTTCCGATTCGATGAGCCCAACTTTAGGCTTGTAGATCTAAATTTTAAAGGCTCCTAAAGTTTCCAACTGGATCGTGAGTTAATTTGGTAAAAATATAGATAATCTCCGTTTGCACATCAGGGTCTATGCAGACTTGTTTGTGATCGACTTTTCAAGATTTAGACCATTTTTAACATCTACGTACAATTTCCGAGTCAATGAGCCCAGCTTTTGGCTTGTGGATCTAAAAATATCAATTGTACTGTAACTGTAACCTAACATTAAACATACAATTGTGCAAACGGAGATTATCTTTTACTTTTACTTCGCTTTTTACTTGGAAACTTTAGGAGCCTATAAGATTGTTATTTTTAGACCTACAAGCCTAAAATTAGACTCTTTGAATCGGAAATTGTATGTTAATTTAATAAATGGTCTCAATTTTGAAAATCCGATTACAAACGAGCCTTATTCACTGTTTTTTTGAGACACCCTGTATATTTCTAAAAATGTTCATGAAACTCATGTATTATGGATACTGGAGATCAATGCTTTATATCGATCTTTTGTAAATATGCAGATTAATTTAATCTATATTCAATATTCAGCATGGTTATCGTACCCTGGAGGAATTACTATAAGCAAGTGATTCAGCATTGGTCCTCAAAATAAAAGTGCCCACAATGGATATCCAGATCTAACAATTGGGATTATGAGTGTCCTGCACAAAAGTTCCCAGCTCAGAACACTTATATAAAAATATTTAATATATGCAAGAATAAGAATTCCATTGTTTTTGGGTTCTAGCTGAAAAATCAAATTAGTGTAATTAATGGACAATTTAAAGTATGATGTATCTACCTTCTTCCTCCATTGCTGCAAAAATAAGAATTTTCTTGTTCTGTTCTGAAGTGTGATCCAGCTCATTGATCTGCAGAAACTTACTAAACTCAATTGCCCAGCGGTTGAACCCCAGAAGCTCCCCGGACCCGTTCCACTTGGGGACCTCCTGGTACATCCTCCTCATCCTCTCCCTCTCATCCAACTTCTTGTCCATGATCCATCTCTCTTGAGGATCGTCTGGAACCGTTCTGATCAAGATTTAAATTATTAGAATTAAAATGGGGTCCACCTGGCATTTCTGAATGTTTTACAGAATTTTAAGAGCTTAAACACCCAATTAAGTTTTTAATGTACGGTGGTTTTTTTATTTTTGATGAGCATTACATTTTGATTGTTGAAGAGTAGCCAAAAATATCAAATTTTTCAATTTTTCAATTACTAGCTTTCAAGCAGTATGGATACTCATAAACATGGAGTCAAAAAGAAGCTTCAAATTAACAGCTTCTCTTTGTTTACTTTTTAACTTGTAATTTGAAAAAAAGCTTGAATTAGAAATCAAAACTTAAAGAGAAAGGTCGTCTTCATTGTATTTATATTAACGCCAAATAATTCACAATGTTCATTTCTGAAGGAAAAATATCACTAATTGAAAGAGCAATTAAGATTTACTGAAAACAAAGGAAAAAACATTATTTAACCTGTCAAACGAATAAATATTTAAATCTCAAAAAAAATTAAATAAGTGAATTTAAATGAGTGCTGAAAGGATGATCAAATATTAAGCTATAAAACTCAACAATTTAAAAGACAGAAAAAAAACTGTAAAAGGGCCTGTAGGCTAAATTAAAATCTGTATTCCTAAAATCTAGCGGATGATGAGGTTGTCCTAGCAGCCAGAGAAGAACCTGTTCTCCCTCATCCTCCCCATCCTCAGTAAACAGGTGGTGATCAGTTCTCTGATGTAGTTGGGAACCTTCCATATCTAGATATTAAAAGTTGAGACTTATTGGGATTTGTACTTTTTGAGAACCGTTCATATCTAGAAATTAAAGTTAAGTTGTCATGGGAATTGTCCATATTTAGAAAAATTAACAGTTAAATACTGTTGGGAATTATCCATGTCTTAACAAATTAACAATTAAATATTATTGGGAAATGTCCACATCTAGAAATTAACAACTAAATATTGTTGGGAATTGTTCATATTATAGAGGACGTGAGTCAGACTCTAATAAAACGCATAGATAACTTCCAGTATATATATTTCTTATAACTTATTACTAGAGGGTTCAGAACTAGAGTCAATATCGATATCGCACGTGTAGACTGGAGATGATATCAGTACTAATGCCCCGTATCCGTTCTATCTCATTCTGTTGAATCTTGTGGAACTAGTTTAATCCACCATCCTACCCTCCTGTCCCCTCCCTCTAGATCACGAACTTTATCATGAGTATGGAAAGATCAAATTGAACATCAGTTTTTATAAATATTTAATCCTTCAAATTCATTCATGTAACATATTAGGTTTTTATCATTTTGAGAAATACAATTTTCCTACAGTAAAAATAAACTAAACAAAGGAGCACCAATAGGAGATCTTTTAACACAGAACGATAATTTCGAAAACTACAGTATTGGGATTTCCAAAATGTGTTCTGCAATTGTTTATCGCTGACAAAGGTGTTTGAAAATTTAGCCAATTTACAAAAAAATTATAAGATTTATAAGAAATCGAATTGTCTTTTATATCTTTTGTTCCCGTTTAACCATTATCCTTAAAGATATATAAAATCAATTAAATTATTAATTTATGACAAACTAGCTGATGTGGTTGGCGTTGCATGCGGAATTTTAAATACACTTTTGATTTTCTATTAAATTTTAATTTCGCATTTCCTTAAAAAAAAGTAAGCTTTAATTTATTTTAAAGATATTCTGAGGATAAATTCGTCGTTATTTAATAATTTAAGAAAAACGATTCGTAAAAAGTACAACACCCAAATTCATGATTTTAAACGTCGACTTTGCACTCAAACTCAGTAATTATACATCGTGGAAACGTTTTAAATGTCTCTAATGAATCCTAAAAAATGTGTCCACAATACTGCATACTCAGTTCAAGCACCATACATTGCCGGTCACTCCCTTTAAGATTCGAATTATGTTCAGTTAACACTGAATTAGACAGATGAAGGTCAACAACATGCAACAATACTGCATGGTACAACTTTTTGACATCGTAATTCCTTTCACGCACCAGGTTTAGTTTGACAAGCGGTGCTGTATATCGATAAACATGTGCTGGCATTATGTACCTGTAAAGACAACCCAACACTCGGAAATTATGACGATTAAGTTCTGAAGATGTTTAGTTTCTGCATTTAAAGTATTTTGATGGTTTTACTAAATAATTAAGCAAAGAAATAAGCCAGTTTTGGTATACAAGGAGCAATGAATACAAGAAAACGGACAATCGTCCCTGACTTCTCATCCTTTGTGGGTAACCCTGTACGTCTACAAATAAAATGTAATCTAATAAAAATATTTTCGAAGCACAGTTATGCACAGTGGAAATAAACATGGGAAAAGGATGTCTTAGAAAGTACTGGTATGTACATACGTACATTCAAAGAGTGACATGTACAATTCGGGTCTGTCCTAGTAAACGATTTTTGGACCCNACACTAGAGACATATGTAGACACTGGAGAATTAGACACTAGAGACATATGTAGACACTGGAGAATTAGACACTAGAGACATATGTAGACACTGGAGAATTAGACACTAGAGACATATGTAGACACTGGAGAAATAGACATTTCTTACAGTCAATTAATAAAGGAATTGAGTCTTTGGCACAAACTCAAATATTCAAACCTTTGGAACCTGATGTTGTAAACCTTTGATATTTCAAATTCAGAAATTCAGTTAGTAACACCCAAAAATGTAGTCTTTTTGATGTATTTTTATGGTGTTAATTGACTTTTTGAACAAAACAATTCCAGGGGGGGGCAAAATCTTGCCCCCCCCTGGCTAAAATCCTGTGTACGCGCCTGCTTTCAACGCTTTAAACTGTAGTCTGCTGCAATGTAAATAAGATATCTTTAACTTTTTAGCTGAAAATTCATTATTCTCAATTATGATTGTACCTTTCTTGTTTTCACCCTGTATCTAACTTGTTGAATACAAAAGTTACAAAAAACTAATAGTTTGGTTAGAAAAGAAAACCCAGGGAAAAAGAAACAATGTCGTTTATATTTATATAAGACTCTGTGAAGAGAACAGTAACGAATTGATATTTATCCTAAAATGTCTCCCTCATATATTCCCCGACCTACCCCCACCTCCT